GGGGGGGGGGGGGGGGATTTGGGGGGATAGATCTCTCCCCTTCGTCATTGAACTACAATTATTAACTTTTGAATTAATAACACGATACTATTTTATCCTTCTGATTAAAAAGTTTTTTTATTTCAGACGGATGACAAATTATCTTTTAATGAATATGTGAGTAGTACACTTGCAAACGGCGTTATGTGATTTTATAAAAGTAAGCCATGAATTAAAAAAAACGTCTACGATAACAAGTAACATCCGAACTGTATCTTTTTTTATTACCTGAAAATTTTTATAAATAAGAGCCTAATACCATTAAAAAAATAAAATTGCAGTATGGTAGATTTGCAAATTTTATATTAAAAAATTTAATATTGCAAGTTTTGAAACAGTAACTTTTACATAGCTAGCTTTTCGCGTTCTCTCCTCTAGGAAGATTGGTTTGCTTCTTTTTTGCGACCTCTTCCACTAGGCACCGAAACTACCACGTTTTCTTGCAGTTTTCTAAGTTCATATTATCATAGCGACTTTTGCAAGAGTAGTTAATATTTCCTGCTATTTTTTTCAGAATATAGAAAAATTTTTCACTCTGCTGTTAGTGGACATGAAACTAGGAATGTTCGATATTTAAGAAAGTATCGATATCAAATCGATACGGCGATATATCGGGCTGAACAATATCGATATCGGAAAAATCGATGTTGAAAATCCTACTCCCAATTGAATAGAATATTAGATCTGCTTATCAACTCAACTAATTGTGTTATTTCCATCTTGTATATTTACTAAGGACTAGCATACCCGGTGAACTTCGTACCGCCCAAAATAAATTTTTTTATTGAAACATTTGGTCCAACGTTTTCGTCAGCAATTCACGTTCACGTTTGGTTTTGTGGTAGACAGAAGGCATATCCTACATTGCCGTCTTCAATAACCTGACGAACGCGTTATACTGGGAAGAAGTCCTTGCGGTTCGATGGTGAATCGTCCTTGAATCTGTGTAGTATAGTTGGTGGCAATTTCCAAACTGGTGAGTATCAATGGTCCACATTCTGTTTAGTGAACGTAAAGCAAGGACCGCAATGGTTCTGATGGTTGGTTTAACGGGGGTGATTTGAGTTTGATCTCTGGTGCCATAGCTCGGCTCCAGCGCCACCTTGCGCATATTTTTTTGCCACAGCATTGCCCCTAACGTTACCAATACATATATATCTCGATTATGAGTTAAATCGGATCACAAATACGATTTTGAATAATAACTCGACTCCAGCGCCACCTGGCGTTTTAAGTTGTGAACTTAAACTATACAGGGACCTACTCAAACACATAAAAAATGTCATTAGAATCCTTTCGGTCGTTTAGGAGGAGTCCACCCACCAGAATAAGTATTTTACAAACTGACACTCTTAAGCATTTTTGCCAATACAAAAAAAAAAAAACTATCACGCATTCGTTATACGGAGAAAATGCGCACATAATCAGCAAAAAAATTATCAAAAATCAACGAACTTAACTGTAACTTATAGCCATCTAAAACTGGCACTTTATGATACTGAAATTGAGTGGACTACAAAACTGCGTACCCAAAATAAGATGCATTTGAGACCATTTGATGCAAAAAAATTTATTGTAAACAAGTAAGAAAGTCTAAGTTCGGGCCGAGCCGAACATTAAATACCCGGCGCAAGTATTAAATATATGTTTTTTCACCCTTCCGAAACCTTCCGCTAGATGGTAAGCCGAGGTGTATCAATTTTGAGTAAATTAGCGTCCTTCAATTTCGAAATATTGAAGTTTCAAGCATTTCTTAAATTTACCGTTATATGAGAATCGGCCGTTATTTTAGTCCGATTTCAATAATTTTCAACGTTTTGCTTACACGTGGCAAGTACAATAACCATACCGAGTTTGGTACAAATTGGTAGAACGGTTACCGATATACTTATATGTGATCATAAGTGGGCGGTGCCACGCCCATTTTCCAAAATTTTACCATAAACATATTTCTTGGTAAAGAATTGTTGCAAGCATCAATTTTGAATAAATTAGCTTCAATATTTACTGATTTATCGAAGATTTTGTATTTCTCTAAATTACCGTTATATGGGATGTGGGCGTGGTTATTGTCCGATTTTAAAAAGTTTCGGCGATTTTTTATGCTGTACCAAGGCCAACAACTGTGCCAAGTTTGGAAGAAATTGGTGCAGCGGTTACCAAGATATACACATGTAACCATAAGTGGGCGTGGCTACGCCCATTTTCCAAAAATTTATAATATTCTTATTTTTCGTCTAAAAATTATTGTAAATATCAATTTTGAGTGAATTATCTTCAGTAGTTACTAAAATATCGCAGTTTTCGTATTTCTGGAAATTACCGTTATATGGGAAGTGGGCGTGGTTAAAGTCCGATTTCGCCCATTTTCAATACCAACCTACCTTGGATTAAGGGAAACCTACATACCAAATTTCGTTGAGATATCTCAATTTTTGCTCGAGTTATCGTGTACACGGACAGACGGACAGACGGACGGACAGACAGACATGGCTTAATCGATTTCTTTTTTCATCCTGATTATTTATGTATACATTTGTCTATATCTAACTCGATTCGTTTTGGCTGTTACAAACAACCGTTATGTGAACAAAATTAATATACCCTTGTGCACAAGTGCGCTCGGGTATAAAAAGAAAGAAAACACTGTATTCTGGGTGTATATATTTACAGATAGGTAAAAGTTTCAATATGTTTGGAGAGCGCCACGCCTTTTCTACTACCACAAATACTTCCAGAGATATACGGTATGCAAAATTCGATATATATGGGTGATGTCATTCTCCCTTGATATATCGAAAGCCTGCAGTAGGTGTCCAAATTTCGGTACAGCCGTTCGCGAGATCACCTCTTACAAAAAAAGAGCTGCTCTTTATATAATTAGTGTCGGTAACACAGGGCGAATGCGGCAAATGGTAAA